ATCAACTGTGATTGGCTAATAATCATGTGACATTAAATTTGATTGGTTGGGAAGATTTCGCAAGCGATCTGCATTTGTGTAACCTTGACAGTCGCTCCTGTTACGTCGTCATCATTATCTGATATATCTGCTGGCTCACTTATCCCAAAATCACAAATCATTGCATTGCCAGTAATATTAAAATCAGTCTTTTTAGTAAGTATGTTACCACTATGAAAATCTCGATGTATAACATCACTCTTATGGATTTCCATAATTCCTTCTACTATTGATGCCAACATTTGAGCTTTTGTTTTCCAGATAAAGTATTAATTTTTCTTAATAAAAAGTGATATAAGTCTCCATTTTCTATAAATTCCATAATCATTATAAAATTTTTTGTATGTGGATCTTGAGTAATACCATATATTCTATTAAAACATGATGCAACCCGAGTTCTGTAACTTCTTACGCATTTATAATACAATTCTACCTAAATCAAACTGAAAGAAAATTAAATATTCGAAATATTTTATTAAAAATTATGTATAATAATGCTAATCTCCTTCAAAAAACTTTCGCTGATGTGTTCAGAATTGTTAAGATTTTTAAGAACAACTTTACAATTTTTACGTCTATTAAAATGTTGCTCTTTTGAGTTCCATGAATTAATTGGACCATTTTACTAAATCCACCTTCAGTAAGATATTCAATATGTGAAAACTGCTCAAATGGAACATATTCTAGTTTTTTTGTAGTTGTGTATCATTGATGATTTTGCAAATATGCTTCTGATAAAATCGTCAATCAATTTGTTACCACTCCGTGATATTCGAAGAGCTATGTCACAAACCACGCATTGTTCTAAATTTTTATGCTGTCTATTAGTCATACCACATTTTTTGCATGTGTTTCGTCGCGAACTAACTAAATATTTCATGATTTATCTATGAAAGTTAATATTTAGTAAATAGTTATATTGTGGTAGCATTTATACATAGTTACAATATAATCTTATATTTGATGAAAAAAAATCAAGCCCACCTAGTTTGAACTACTAGATTTATGCAAGCTTGATATTTTCTTTAGGCAAGGTTGAATGCAAACGAGAAATTTAAAAGTTTGGATTACCTCTATATTACAGTTAGGTATTTTACGCGATATAGAAATGATTTGCAATATACTAAAAGGTTATTCTAAAACCGATTTCTATTTAAAAAAAATCATTTTTGATTATCTAAAAATAACAATCCGTTTTAAAAAAACCTTTAAAATTTTCTTGCAAAAGTTATTCTATGAATATGTAGTCTAGGAATCCCTGAGGCTTTAAACACAGCCAATGATTGGTACAAATTTGTACCATAGAATTAAAAAAGAATTTTCCAATTGAAGATCGTTTATCAAAAAGAGAAATGATCTGCGTTCCACGAATTTGAAAAATCCCTGACTGTATTAAGACGTTACACGATTGTAAAACATTTATTGTTATACAAGATGCAATAAATGGCTTTTAATCCCATGAACTCCGTAAATTGAACATGTTAGTCATCAATCTCATTTATCGAAAATTTTCTTAAATTGCCAAAAACAGGATTTCCCAATGTGAACAAACTCAGACGCCAACTCCATAAATCAGTCATTTCCAAAAAAAGCATTTCCTAAATATAAGTAAGCCATTAAATCTGAACTCCGTAAATAGCCAATCAATCTCGCTTATAGGGTTCCGCATGTAGGGTTGGAAAATTACCGTAATTTTACGTAATTTTACGTAAATTTGTGTAAGTTTCTGAAATAAAATTACATGTAATTTTGATCATGTGATTAATTTGGGCTAAAATTTTTGTAAAGTTAACATAAAAATAAATATAAAATTAAAGTTCCGAACACAATGATGGATATCTATTAATGCCGGCAAAACTTTTGTAA